TGACTTACGGCTGCCATCCAGAGCACACGAGAAGTCCATCGAACCTTCGACTCGGCAAACCTGCAAGAAAGCACCACTCCCTGCTCAACACACAGTGTTTCAGGGAATTCACCCCTCATCAGTTGAGCTTGAGTAGGCTGAGGAGGAGTGTGCCTGAAGAGCACCACTTCCAGTGTATATAGTGCTCTCCAGGCACAAGCATCACCAGGGACACAAACTTACAGAGACGCTCCGTTTCCAGCGCGACAAACACCTCGTGATTCGTGAACACCAGATAGCAGCGTGAGTCAGTGTCGCTCCTGGACGATGTGAACAAGAGTACTCTTGATATCTGTAATCATCCGAGTCATCATTTTTATTGCTTTTATTTCATGAAATCTGTTACCCAGACTTGTGGATTGCTACGAACCCTGGTCTGCATACAGTACATGTATACCGTATTATCTCTAATATAAGCACGGTCCTTTATTTTTTTCAATGTACCTCCGCCCCGTGCTATTATTGGAGACGTTCCTTTATTGGAGACTGTTCCATTATTATTTCAACCTCATTTCAGAGGCATGTTTCCATGCCAAATTTATATGTCAGACGCACACATTTCAGGGTTTTTCGGCGGTACAGATAATGAATTTACACAGTGTGCTTATAATGGAGACTGAGCACTTTATTTTTTGAATGCCACCCCAAGGTGTTCTATTATTGGAGACGTGCTATTATTGGAGACTGTGCTTATATTAGAGATAATACGGTATGTACGCTGCATTGTGTTTCCATCATCTCCTTGCTCAGTCACGTGACTGCAAGTGAAAGTTGCAATGGGCCTCTGCAGTGGATACTGCACTTCAGTCTAGCCTAGTGCAGGCACATCACTAGTGGATCTGGATGGAACTGACCTGGGACCCATTATGATTCCTCAATGTGTCCATCAATGGCACCCACCAGGTATACCTGCTACATGTACGTGAAGAGCGGCTACAATTCGCAATGTCTTGCTTGTACAAGTACTTCACAACTGAATGACTTGTACCAAGAGTACATGTACTCTTGCTTGTACTGCAAGATTAATTAAAGGCTATTTTTAAATACGTGTACCTTTTTTAAATGCGTGTACATGTATACTCATTCCTTTATCTGCTATTCATTCGTTATCTTTCTTATCTACCTCCACTGAGGAGCACTTAATGAGCGTAACAGCTCATTACAGCTACCTGGAGGATATACATGTAGAACATCTACCCAAGTGAAGAACAAACTTCCTCGCTATGGAGTGGTGTTGTGAATGTGGGCCAAGAGCGCAGTGTGGAGAGGTGGATGGTTCAGATTTTTCAAATGGCCGGGCAGGTCATGAACAAGGAGTCGTACAACTCCCTGGTCAAGAACCACCTTTCCGCTTCCGTGGGACGCCACCACCCCATGATCAGGCGTCAGATGCGGCTCCTAAACGGTGAGTTATTCACATTCATGATATTATAATAATAAAGAAAGACCAAGGAACTACAACCTCAGCTCCACCAGTTGTACGTGCAACGTCTGCTTCTCTTCGTCTTCCGCTGCCTTCATGGCATAGCCAGCTCACTGTTCACATCCTACTACTCCCTCATTGCCACGGATGTGGACAGAAGTTGCGTGGTCAGGTCAGCCAGCTGCTCAGAGTGCCGTTCCTACCTGGTCCCTCAGGCCGTAGCTCTATCGCCTTTGTTGGCAGTACCACATGGAACTCTCTCCCTGCTGATATTCGCGCTTGCAACGTACGCCACACGTTTCAAGCATTGCTGTCTGGCTATGACCTTATCTCCCTCCTCAACTAGGTCTCCGATGTTGTGCCTACTATGTCTTCTTCACAGATTCTGCCTGAACAGATGCTCATCAATTATGTTCTTGTCCTCTATCCTAGTCCAAATCCTGCCTTGCCCATGCATGACTCTCATGAAATGCCCGTATTAAATAGTCTATAAAACAAGAATATTTGATATCATACTTCTCTCATCAACTATGATAATACCCATTCCATACCACTCCCCTTCATAAAATTAATAACTACTGTTTTCTTTTCTTTCCTTTCATTTCATCTTCTTTTCCGTTCCTTTCTTCTTCATACACATTTTAAACATTTTCATCATATTGTGAGAGCCGTGGGCCAATAGCCCCGGTGAGAAGGCAGTCTTGCCTGTTCATATGGTGAAGTAAAATAAAGAAACAACAACAACAACAACAACAACAACAACAACAACAACAACAACAACAACAACAACACGTTACGCTATACTGTCCACTAACACCACCAGTTACTAAACAATCAGCTCATGCGATAACATTGCACGACACTGACCGACGGTACTGACGTTCTACAACTAACTGGCTAACAGCTCTAGCACATCTTGGATGCGCACTCCAACAGCCTTCCAACTTGGAAGGTTTTTTTTCTTTTGAGCCACACAAGCTGTGTGGAATGTTGCTTTGCGTTCTTGAATCGTGGTTTGGCCGTATTGTCCAATGGTCTTGCCAGTATCGTCATCGACATGCATGAACATCCACCAACGTCCTTCACAGCTGAGACTTTCAGCTCATGCTTATCTTGGTCGCGCTCACCTTCCCCTCCTTATGTTATTTCTATAACTCAGAACCTCAGAAGAATAGGAGGATGAAAAAAGTGTTTTTTAAAACACTTTTTAAAAGTGATTATCAGAAAACAGACTTGAGCCTCCCAAGTTGGGTAGTCTGTTGCTTTGCGTCGTCGAGTTGTAGTAAGACCAGTATGTCCAATTGTTTTTTTACTACTGGTCTCGTCAACATACAGTAACATTCGGCAGTCTTTGTTGCCGAGAGCCATACAATGTACATGTAGCTCGTGATGACCTTCGTTGCGCTTTCCTTCCGCTCTTCGGACCTTTCCTAATCGATCACCCCTGCTAACGTTATTGCCCCCGCTTGTTTTTCATGATCCATTGCTTCTTGCCTCCCGGTTAATTTCCAACTAGCTGTTTCTGGCTAGTACCAGTTCTATCGCACTTATTAATCATCCTTATTGGCGTCACGCCTTCGTGGAATAAAAGAATAATAATAGTAATAATAACCCGAGCCTTCCATGTGAGAAGGTTGTTGGTTTGTGCTTCGAAGAGGTCGTTGAATGTCTCAGTACTCCGTGTCAGAACGCACTGCGGGAGCTGGTTCCAGACCTCCACAACAGCGTCAGGGAAGGACCGAAGTACATCATTCCGTGCTCTGGGCGGAAGAGTGGAAGTGAGCTGAAACTGGTGTTTGCGGACGACATAGCATTGTACTCCTCGCAGAGTTCTGTTGGCGCTGTCTCTGCTACGCTTACGACGGCAGTCACCAACCTAGCTGTTTGGCTACAGGCGAGGGGCATTGTCCTCAACCCCTACCAAAAGCCGAGCTGTGACTTTTCTTCCTCACCGACAGGTGGATAACCCTCTCGTAACTGTCCAGTGTCGTGGGGCAGCCGTTCCAACAGCATCGACTACCACATACCTCGGTGTTGTACTTGGTAGTAAGCTTTCATGGGACGCTCAAGTCGACCGAATTGTCATGATCAGCAAGACAAGACAGTAAGATAGGTGCGCTGTGGCGAGCCCGTCGCTCCCTGTCCCCATGTGCACGGCGTCTCTTCGTCCGAACTGTTGTCATCCATCACAAAATCTATGGCAGTAGCGCCTTCTTCCCAGCGCTCCTTGATCGCCAGCTTGATCGCCTGGGTCTGCTGCAGAACAGGGCTATCCGAGCTATGGACGGCCACCCACCCTACACAACCGTGCATCCCCTGCTGGTGCAGCACGGCTTGTACCGGATAGGCGAACTCAGCAAGCGCATGCTACACGTACTAGCAAGAGTACATAACCCAGGTTATGTACTCTTGGTACTAGTGTTTGTCTGGAGATGCCTTCACGGGAAAGCCAGTGCCGCGTTGTCTGGACTGTTCGTCAGATCTGCTGGCAGGAGAGCCCGTCATCAGAGGTCCGTGGTCTGCTCAGTCAGCCATCCTCCACTCGCTCTGGAGCTTCTCGGCCATCCGTCGCAGGATCTGCACTCTGGAACCTGCTGCCGGATGATGTTCGGACCATAGCAAGACAGAAAAGGCTTAGCATAAGTTGCCTACCGTATTGTTGCTCAGATTAGCCCGCCCCCTAGCTCTCCTCGACCACCCTGTCACCCCTGATACTCGCTTGACTCCTCTGTCAGATACTTTTTTGTCGAAGTTTTCCTGTCCTTTCTTTTCTAAATTCGGCTTATGCATTCGCCTTGCAGCTGCAGCTTCTTCCCATCATTGGGCCTACAGTTCTCGTTTACAACCAACCAACCAAAAAGGCCGGAGGAAGCACCTCCTCCATAGCTTTTACTATGTTCTTCCATAGCCACTTCTAGGCTAAGCGTTCGCCGTCATTTTATTGGGTCGTCATCCCGTTTTATTTATTATTTATTTATTACAGCATCTCATAGCACAGTGAGAACACCGGCCAATACAAAGAGAGAGGGTGTTACCCAACCACGGCAAGGAAGGGAGAAGGGGAGGAGAAGAAAAAAGGAACCGACATGGATAAGCAGTGATTGCAACAAAATGAGAAACACAAAATCAAAAGTCAAGGTGCGACAAGGCTCGAAAGGCGGAGGGAAGAAAGGTCCTTAGCTTCTTGTTTGAATGTGCGAAGTGAAATAAAAACCAACCAACAACCAACCTCCTTCTTGAATCTTGTACAAAGTTGGACTTGGAGGTTCAACAGGAGATCCCCCCGATATGCGATAGGCTATGCCTTTGCCTTTGCCTTTGTTTGGGAAATCCTTTACTAGGCTTTAGTCTAGTTTTGTAGCTAGCGCCACGGCGATTGCGCTAGGCGCCGCTAGCGCCTGGCATGGTATAATGGTGCTACATGTACGTAGACACGTCACTCACATTATTTTGGCGGGATATCACATGCAAAAATGGCATGGACCGTGGCCGTGGACGATCGCGATAATCGTACGAGTGTACGTAATGCATGTTCAGGAGCAAAATTCCCCTGTATTTCTCACTTTTGAGTTTTTGTTTGTCACAGTTTCTATTTCTCTTTCCACGTCTAGAGTCATTTGGCAAACAGCGCCCATTCACTTTTCATTCCTTACTTACCTCCAGCTGGCCCTGGTCTCGTGGGTTCCTAATTTTCGATGTGCTACCCAAAAGCACGGCGAATTATTACCTCAATTTGATCTGCGAAAATCTACCTGAATTTGTTGAAAATGGCTACTGACAATGGTGCTCAGCTGGATCAAGCGAAGGCGTTCTTGAGTGCCACTCCTGATGACATTAGGGGCATGGTCAACCAACTGCCGAACGTGGATATCAACAGGCAACTGTTGCTGGAAGGTCGGCTGCGTGGCGTGCAGGAGCATTTCTCCAAATTGCGAAATGAAAAAGAGCAGCATGAGCAACAGCAGGAGGAGCAGCAGAGCGCCGCATCGCCTCTGCCAGAAGCAGAGAGCATTGCTACGCCGCGTACTCCTGGTGCCGTGGCAGGTGCGTGCAGGACCCCAAATAGTGGCGCTGCCGAGTCGCCGATTGTGCTTCACGACCACTGCGCTGACTCGAATCTCAGTAATATCAGCGAGGCATCGCTTGAGGCCATTGAGGAAGATGTGCACAAAAGCAAAGGTCGCAAACGTAAGGCGGCCGAGTCCGCGTCTACGGAGCGACCCAGCAAGAAGATCAGCGACTTCTTTGGCAAGTCGATGTCGCCGTTTTCGTCGTCGTCGGCGTCCACACCTCCTGGATCATCTAAGAGTAGCGGGTCATGCACGAAAGCCGTACAGACAGATCTAGCCGGACGGGACATCGACGGGATGCTCGTGGAGCGCGCCGAGGCCAGCGCCACCGAGTCGCAGAAGGACGGCACAATCGGCGAGCTAAAGCGCCTGCTGGCCAGCAACCGGACCGAGATGGACAAGCGGCATCGTCAGCTGGCCAGGTTGGTCGGGCTGCATCGCGACCTGCTGCGCGAGCAGTACGACCAGCGCCGGCAAGCGGCTCGCCAGAACGCCATGCAGAACAGCCTGCGGCTGGGCCACTTCACCATGCAGCGCGGCGCCTCGCGCTACTCGGAGATCTGGACGGAAGGCACGGCGTTCCAGGAGCTGCGGCAGCGGCAGCTGGAGATACGGCAAGAGCGCGACGAGCTGCAGAAGAAGAAACGGCCGGGTGGCCGACCGAAAAAGGCCAACAACGCGTCGACCACTTCCGCTGGGGACGCTGGCTTCCAGAAGCCTGCTCCTCCCATGTCCGTGAATGTGTATCAAACGGAACAACATCAGAACGAACAGGAAGAGATCATCAAGCTACGCGAGAAGCAGCTGCGGAAAGAAGAGCAAGACCTGCTACTGGAGAACGAGAAACTAGAGCGAGAGCGCAACTTGCACATCCGGGAGTTGAAACGTATCGACGGCGAGAATGTGTCGCAGTTCAGCAAGTTCCCGCTGATGAGCCACGAGCGCTACATTTTCCTGGAGCTGCTCGGTAAGGGCGGTTTCAGCGAGGTATACAAGGCGTTTGACTTGAAGGAGTTTCGCTACGTCGCCTGCAAAGTCCACCAGCTGAGTCGCGAGTGGAAGGAAGAGCGTAAGGCCAACTACCTGAAGCACGCGTCGCGAGAGAGCAAGATCCACGAAAAGCTGGAGCATCCGCGCATCGTGCGCCTGTACGACAGCTTCGTGATCGACCAGAGCTCGTTCTGCACGGTGCTGGAGTACTGCGCCGGCAACGACCTCGACTTTGTGCTGAAGCAGAACAAGATGATCCCTGAGCGCGAGGCACGCTCCATCGTGTGCCAGGTGGTGAGCGCCCTGCGCTACATGAACAGCATACAGCCGCCGGTCATCCACTACGACCTGAAGCCCGGCAACATTCTCCTGTGCTCCGGCTCGGCGACCGGCGAGATCAAGATCACCGACTTTGGCCTGAGCAAGATCAAGGAGGGCGACAGCGGCGCCGATATGGAGCTGACCTCGCAGGGCGCCGGCACCTACTGGTACCTTCCGCCCGAGTGCTTCCTGATCAGCCGCAACGGGCCGGCCATGATCTCCAGCAAGGTGGACGTGTGGTCCGTCGGCGTCGTCTTCTTCCAGTGCCTTTTCGGCGTCAAGCCCTTCGGCAACGACCTGACGCAGGCCAGCATTCTCGAGCAGAACACGATCCTGAATGCGCGCGAGGTCGAGTTCCCGGCGAAGCCCGCCGTCAGCCAGGAGGCGAAGACGTTCATTCGCCGCTGCCTCACCTACCACAAGGACGAGCGGCCGAGCGTGATGGATCTGGCACAGGACGCCTACTTGCAGAACAAGACCGCCGCTCCGAAAAGCACCAACGCAGCGGCGTAGTGAGTGAGCGCTCATCGGGATCGAGGTGACAACAATCGATGTGAAGTATGTTGAGCTGCGGAGAGTATTATGTGCTCGAGTAGGACCACCCACCGCAGCGTAGTGAGTGAGTGCTCGTAGGCATTGAGGTGACAGCCGATGTGAACTAAGCTGAGCTGCGGGGAGTATATGTGCTCGAGTAGGATCACCCACAGAATTGAGCCATGCCGGATACGCTCTCTTTTGCATGTTCTGTGCTGTGTTTGTTTTCTAGCTGCCATTTTAAAATTACTCCACGCTATCCCCGCTGACACCCTACTAGATGTGTACTTTTGTTGATCCAGTGTCATATTTTCCCCTGTGTCTAACTATGTATGGGTGTGTGTGTGTGTGTGTGTGTGTGTCTTTGGTTTTTTTTAGCTTCTTTGTAGTGCCGTCGCTGGGCAGAGTGACCCTTGAGGTAATTTTAAGTTTTTTTTAACCATCTCTATCTCTCCCTCCCTGTGTGTGTGTGTGTGTGTGTGTGTGTGTGTGTGTGTGTGTGTGTGTGTGTGTGTGTGTGCGTGTGTATGTATGAGTGTGGGTGCTGCAAACAGAGTTTATTCAATATTGCCATCTATCCGAAGAAGAGGCTTGCAAATTTTCCCTTGCTGCGATTTATCGTGTTTCCACTCCTGGTGTTTTCTGCAGTTTACGAGAGTTTCATTTTTTTATACAGCTTCTTATACGCTATTGCTGGTTTTTAGTGGAAAATGAGGAGTAGCCTTTTTTGGCAGTACATATAGTACTGTCTTCTGTTGTCTGTGACCTATTCACCGTATCTGATCATCGTTCAAGTTTCTCAATGGACAGCAGCCAGCACGGTGTGTCTGGGTGCGCAGCTGCCCCGTGAACCGAGCGGCCTTGCGTGAGATCTCTGTGTTTGGTCTGTGCTGTATGCATCACATGCACTCTTGCAGGCCTTGTGGCGGGCGGGAGAGTTGTGTGATCATTGATTTGTGCAAGGAGGTGTGCCTGGGGCTGGTGCCTGTGCACATTTTTTACTCTTGGCGTGTAGAGTCAGTCTTGCGCATTGTTATTCATGAGGTTATAAAGTGTGCAGTCATTGTTTGCCCAATGGGCGAAATATTGGCATAAGTAAATCTATTCGATGCAGCTGAGAGCCTGTTATGTACGGTGTGCAATGGAGATATTTTCCGATGTGAAAATGGTCACTAACCTTATTGTCTTTGACTGTATGATAGGTAAGTCTGAAGATTGTGTCGTGAAACTTGGACTTTGGACATCGAGAGAACGGTCAGTAGATCTACGACCTGGCAGGCTGGCACTAGTATAGACCATGCATTTGTAGATTGGCACAACAGTTTTACAACCGTACATACGGTAATTATTAAAAAATTTAGCCAATTTTACATGCCCGGCGCCCTGGCCTGGGGATCCCCCCGGGGCCCCGCCACCCGCGCGGAGAAAGCGAAACATGAAATTTTTTCCAACAAGTATCGATCGGAAATTTTTCATTTTTACGTCCAGGGCGGACATCACGTGGCAATTCGACTGACGGTTTTTGAATGGATTGAAAACAACATGTGAATGCAATGCACACAAAAATCAGTGCATGCCTGTTTTTTTGTAGCACGTTCCTTGCTGATTGGTTATGGCTTCGTAGTGTGCTGGTGACCTTATGCCGACCACGCCATGCAAGGATTTCGGCGTATCGCGACTGTTCGCGCTGCTGTCCTTAGGAATTCTGCCAGATCGCAGCACAGCGGCGTCGATGTAAGTCGTTGATTTTTTCCCAATCCAATACTACATGATTGTGCACTTATTGATGACCCTGTTCAATTACATTTTTCCTCGGGCTATTTTACGGCATTGGATAAACATTAGATGTTGTCTCTCAGATGTTTGAAGTTCTGAAGTTCTCGAATGGGGCTGAAAGACAAACGAGAAGCTGGAGAATCTTTTTTTGGTCAGTCAAATTCTACGTCATGCATAAAAAAGTCGTAGTGCTGGTCACAACATGACCCCAGCACTAAGCACAGTCAACCTCTTGAATAACAACCTCGGATATAGCAGGAACCCACTAATAACGACACTATCTTCAGACCATGTAACTGCTTGACTGAGTGCGTTGAGCCGCGTGAACAACTCGCGATTGGCAACACGTTCTCATGCACGACGGAGAGTCGTTATGCGCAGGGTAGACTGCACATGTACGGTGTACTGTGAACTCGGACGCGGCGCCAGTACAGGTGGAATCCTGATAATTCGAACCTCGAAATGCCAGGAAAAAAACTTCTAATTAGCCGGACATTCTAATTATCCAAACATGAACCCACTCCATAATATGTATATCAAAATGCTCTCATGGTCACGCAGAGTTGCGCTATGGACCTTAGACACAGATTTCACGGATACTGAACTGACCGGCACAGCCTGCTCATGCAAACTGAACTGACCAGTACAGTGCGAGTGTACAGTGAACTTGCGAATTACACTTTGCTAACTTCGAATTACCAGTACACTTTGCTAACTTCGAATTATCAGCACAAATCCCACACATTTTCTATGTAAGTGGAATCCGTGGAACTTCGAATTAACCGGACATGTCTGGTTCGAGGTTCGAATTATCAGAAAAAATTATGTGGGAATCGTATTGACAGAAATCGGTCCCGGAAAATTTTCTAATTAAGCGGTATGTTCGAATTAAGCCATATTCGAATTATCAGGATTCCACCTGTACTTTGTATTCATGAAGTCGACTTTGCCTGGCCAGAACTGTGCACAAAGAAGAGTGTGTAACTCCCGGAGAAGCCACCCGGCCAGCAACTCCAGCAAACATTGGTATCAAGAGAACACACACACTGATATCCAAGAGTACATAACTCCCGAAAAATGTGCCCCTGTATAATAACCTCTATAATTATTGTGCTGCGATGGCAGAACTTCACAGCACTTGACATGGTTTAATAGGTTACGCTGGCAATCAGTGCAACATGACCACCAGCGAGTTGAACCCAGAGCAGGGCTGCCTTCAACCCGAGTGGAATTTTTAATGTTTCATTTCTGACCTATAACATTTTCTGTTTGGACGGCAAAGGGTTAAGGATCGTCATCAGCAGCCAACCTCTGCGACTTTTGTCAGCTGATTACCAGTGTCCGTCATTAGTGGTGCCTGGCACTGCGGTTGTTCAGATCGGTAGCGTGCGATTGAGCCAATTGAATTTGACGCACCACCATTTGTGGCCATCTTCCTTGTCATTCATTTTTCGTTGTGTGCTTTGCATTTGTGCTTGCCGTAGGTTGCGGGTCATGCTCAGGTAGCCCATGCCACCTATCCGGCCAATACCGGCAATGCCGGCCCTGCACAAGCCGTAAGTCTCATAGGTGTGTAGGACGCACAAGCATACAGGATTCATCCCTCATGCAGTGCACTTTCTTCTGGTCCTCGGGTGTCTGTAGCCGGGCGTCTGCAATCGGGTGTCTGTAATCGGATGTCTGTAACCGGATGTCTGTAATCGGGTGTGTGTAACCGGGTGTCTGTTCTACTGTACCTGTACTTGCACCGGAAACCAAAAAAGAACTGCAACCAACCCTGCACGCAAAGGGATCACGTGAGTTTGAGTGGCCCAATCAAACTGGCGCTGATGTCCACTGGCGATCAGCACACCAACGTTGCTTCGTGACTTTGTGATCAACTTGTCAGTTCAGTCAGTTCTACTAGATCGAGCTCGGAGGAATCGAGCGATGGCGACTCCGAGTGGGACTCCAGCGGTAGTTACGGTACCGAATTTGTTTGCAAATAATGTTCTGTACATCAACAACTATAAGCCCGTTTCGCATTGCCAAGTATGGAAGGTATGAGTAATGCATTTGATCCAACCGACAACAAGCTCACACAACTCAGTTTGGGATATTTACAGGATACAGGAACAATATGATACAGGTGAAACAAGAGAGAAAGAAAGACTATCCGTTCATCACGGAAGGAACAACAACAACCAGAAAAGGAAAAATCGAAGAAACAAGTAGCGCAAGCGAAAGCCAAAACGCTCTCCTCAGCAGAACGTGCACATACACGTGCGCCTACAAAGCACCCACAGCAGCGCAAACGACGCCAACGTACTACACTAATCTACACTAATTTACATGCATCAAATAAGGATTCCAAAAGCAACCGAAAAAGTAGCCAGCTCTGCAGAAGGATCCGCGACTGAGTACAGTCCGCTTAGCCATGGGACCTCATGACGTCAACCAAACAAAAGGCACAGAAAAGACGTGTCAGATAAACAATAAATAAACCAAACGCAGATTCAAACAGCAAACTAGTAAACTAACGATAAACTAGTAGTAACACTGAGACAATTCGACTGTCACAAACTGTACAACAAATCACATGCAAGAAGTCCTTTCACTTTGTCCACCGCTCGTTGCGTGACATCACTCCCCACCAAAGGACTTCCTGGGGATCACAATCCTAAACAAACGAATGCACGAACACCACAATCGACTCTGGTATTCCGGACCTCACAATGAATACGACTGCGTGCCAAACACCGCTGATCATCGTCGCTGTACTCTTCCCTGAGCATGTTACCCAGGCGCTGCATCCTGCGACTGACATTCCATCTTTTCATTAACTTGATGGCTTCCGGCACATCACTTTCTGGCGGTCGTTGGTTACCCTTCCTCCGTGCAACAACTAGGCACTGCGTTTCAAACCGCTTCGCTGGGTTCTCACGCGTATTGTTCGCTACACGTGGTGGCTCCTCCATCTGCCACCGCCGTTCCATTTTGGCCTGGATACAGGCCACCGACACAGTACATCCGGCTTTTGTGTCCAATGCGCTGTTGCCATTGACGACCTTCCTTTCCGTCTCCACCTCAGCCATATCCATGACTGACACTCCAACGCACTGTCCACTGTGCTGGGTTGTTGGAGCGACGGACCGATTCTCCACCGACGCTCGTCGTCCACGCGCCTCTTGGTCAAACACAACCGTTGTTTCCTTGTACCTTGGAAACGTAATCCTGGTACTTGTACTTGGGACTGTCATTACCCCCACAGCACTACTGTCCACTAGTCCACAAGTAGACCCAGCCTCCGCCGCAGAGCACTCCCCTCGCAACTCCGCTTCGGCCGCTCGGAACGCATGCTCCCATTGAGCACGCGCCTCCTCCCATTGGATAGCCTGCTCCCTTCGAGCGTTGACCTCCTTCACCTTTTTCTCCACGTACTGCGCGAGTCGGCTCCCCTCGAAACCCAGGGCCTTACCAACTCGCAGCAACCGCTCCTCCAACAGCAGCCCCCCCGCGGACTCTGCCGAGTATCCTGCGCCCTCACTGGCTCTCTCCTCGAGCATCGTGGCCACTTCCTGTCAGCGTCACTGGATCCAAACAGCGTATCTATCCTGGCGTGATCGCCATAATTTGATCCAACCGACAACAAGCTCACACAACTCAGTTTGGGATATTTACAGGATACAGGAACAATATGATACAGGTGAAACAAGAGAGAAAGAAAGACTATCCGTTCATCACGGAAGGAACAACAACAACCAGAAAAGGAAAAATCGAAGAAACAAGTAGCGCAAGCGAAAGCCAAAACGCTCTCCTCAGCAGAACGTGCACATACACGTGCGCCTACAAAGCACCCACAGCAGCGCAAACGACGCCAACGTACTACACTAATCTACACTAATTTACATGCATCAAATAAGGATTCCAAAAGCAACCGAAAAAGTAGCCAGCTCTGCAGAAGGATCCGCGACTGAGTACAGTCCGCTTAGCCATGGGACCTCATGACGTCAACCAAACAAAAGGCACAGAAAAGACGTGTCAGATAAACAATAAATAAACCAAACGCAGATTCAAACAGCAAACTAGTAAACTAACGATAAACTAGTAGTAACACTGAGACAATTCGACTGTCACAAACTGTACAACAAATCACATGCAAGAAGTCCTTTCACTTTGTCCACCGCTCGTTGCGTGACAATGCATGTGAGTACACTGGGATCAGCAATGCACTGTTCAACATCCCCAGGCGACCATGCCCAGGTGGCTGTGTGGGGTGTTGGCGGTACGAATTATGTCACTGAGCAATGGGCTTATTCAGCACATGGTTGTTCCGCTATTTTCGGTTTTTAACCTTCAAGGCCTAAAGTTTGTTGCGGCTGAAATATCAGTTTGCAAGGTAAAGATATACGGAGTATACAGGCAGGGGCAGTACAGGCTCAAATTTGTATGGGGCGACAAGTAATTTGGCTCTCGGAGGCTGAAATTAAGGGCGCGTTTGTCTGGTTCAAATTGCACCCAAACTAGAACAGGATCACTTGGAACACGCACGTTCGGCTGGTCTGCACCGGATCTCGAGCGTACGGAGCATGTTCCGTCTACTCCAGGCCTTGATTTGCTGCTTTTGCTGCTGCTGCTGCTGTTTACCTTCTCATTTTGGAATTCTGACGTGAGTTTTCATTTGAAAATGGCGCGAACACATGTGTTATTTGTGCGCACGTGCACGTACATGTGCAGTCTGTTCATCTTCTTCACACACCGTGGCACCTATTTTCAAGTGTGCTTCTCTTTCGTGTAGTGTTGAAACGATCTCACCGGGTACTCGTTAGCTCGCTCGCCAGAAACTCGGCTCGTTTGTGCGGCCAGCTCGTTTGCACTAACGAACACCGTACACCGTACTCCGTACACATTTCAGTACATGTCGATCGGGCAGTCGTAAAATATTTTACAACTCCCTGGTACATGGTCGATCGAGAGTCCAGTCCCGGGCAAAGTGAAAATCACTCGCAGTCACAAAAGACTGTATGCCTGCACGACACTGAGTTGTTTCAGTTGTCGTTGCAGCTTTGCTGGACTCTGATGTCTTGTTCCGCATCTGCTGACCTGTCGCAGGACATGCTTCGGTCAACTCTGCATTTGAGTGAAAGTTACGCTCAGTCGTTTGGAAGTTTTCTCCCGCAATGCAGCGAAGAACAGGGCTACTTGCAATCTTTGCAAAACAGTCTATTCTTACAAAGGCTGCTCAACGACGGCACTGAAAAATATCTCGACACCAAACAGCAGTCCGAAGTGAAGCAGCAGGAACCCAAATGTCGGCGGTCATAATTTGAACCAGATGAAAAAAATCGAACTGTAAGGCCATCATTTTTTATATCTATGTTTCGCGTCAGGTCAACCCGCGATATTCATGTTAAAACAAAATGGCGTCACGATTTATTGAAAGTGGTATAGTTGGTGATACGAGTGTTCAAACCCATTTGAACTTCATACTGTTCGTCTTCTTTTTGACATGCTCTCTTTCCATCGTCCTTAGCTTTTGTTTGTTGCGAGCTGTTTTGGCTTTCTCCTATACCTCTGGGGGATGCCAAGTGATGGTTTTGAGAGGCTGGTGATGGCTGTGAGCGAGAGTTTGCCGATCGGCGTCGTCCTCGCTATAGCGATGAAAATACTAGTTACTGCGCACCTGGCAGATATCACAACACGTCGGAGCGTCCAGGAGCAAAGGAATCTTGGGTTTTCACTGGAATCTAGTTCCTCCAGCATCGTGTAGCCCACCGTCGGTGAATGGCGGTCCAGAAAGGTCGAACCTGGTCTTCTGCAGCATCTCGCAGTCCTGCGAGGCACACTGAATACGCCTGTCATGTATTCTACAAATAAAAATCACGAAGTAGTGGACTTTACAGTGATGAGTCTATCCTGTATGCTGCAAAAGACACAGGACATGTGACTGGTGTCTGTACACTCAGTGACTGGACGCCAACACCCCAGTCTTCTCCTGCAGGATCTGTTTGACATTGACATGCAGTAGGTCGGCATTGACCTGGTTTGGCAGCTATCGTAATAGTATCTGCCTGGTTGGATGTAGCAGGTTGGTGTTTGCTCGTCGTCCAGTCCGGAATTTTCGTGTAACTCACGGTGGAGTACGCGCAGGGTTTGTGATCATCCCTGTTCACTTCAATATTATCAAACACAACGTTCCCTTTGTCACTCATCTTATCCTGAGTACTGAATTTGCTGACAATATTGCACCACACTTGTCACAACCTACCGCCACTGCTGGCGGTGGCGACTGGTTCGTCAATGGCGGTGACCAGGCTGACTGACTAGCTTCGAGACAGCGGCCTCGTTGTCAACCCCGCGGCAGCCTAAAGGTTGATTTTATCGATCCAGCCTCAGCGCCATGTTGACGATGCCCTAGTGACTGTGTGTCATGGATTGCCTTGCCATCAGCGGTCATTGCCGTCCACCTTGGTGCAGCCCTCAACAACTGGCTCAGCCCATGGGAGTCTCAAGTGGACAAAGTTGTTGCCAAAGTAGCTCAGAAGATTGGTGCATCGTGGTGTAGGTGAGCACATAACTAGGACTTCCCAGCGCCTATTTGTCCAGGCTGCGATACTATGTGACATGCTGTACTGCACATTCTTTTCAGCACTGCAAGGCCGGCAGCTGGACCGACTGCAGGGGCCGCGCACATGCAGGCCGCCTGTTGCCAGTGCAGCATTCTGGAACGTTCCTTCCTTCTGAAATCCGTGGAATAATAACTTTCTTTGCTTCAAAGCAAGTTGCTTACCTTTCTGTTGTGCTCCCAGTGTCCTTACAACAATAACCTACAGCAATGTTTTATTTTCCTTTCCATTCCCCAACCAATGAATACTACGATGTCGATTCTATTTCTGAATACTTTAGTGTGTGCCCGCGCACGCACGTGTGTGTGTGTGTGTGTGTGTGTGTGTGTGTGTGTGTGTGTGTGTGTGTGTATACCTCACTCGCCACTCGAAGTTCTGTTCCCTATCACTGGAACACTGCCTGTTCTTTCAGGACCTGCCATCATCTGCGGATGGGCATTCAATGATTGTATTGTGTGTGTTTTCATTCAGAATCAGATCCGCTATCGTTGCTATAAGAGAAAATCTGTGGGTTCACATCCAGTGCATTTGTAGATTTGCGTGCTTTTCTTGCCACGGGCGCATACATGGGACATTGTGTGTGTGTGTGTGTGCGTCTGTGTGTATGGGGATATTGTCTGTATCGGCTTTTGGTACTAATGTTGAGGTCTGTGCTTGCATGTGTGAACATGAAATTGTTCGGTTCTGTGCATGCTATTGCTATGTTGTATATTATTGTATGTATGTGTGCATTTCCACGAACAGTGTAGATGAGCGTGGAGAGTGCATTCATCCCTCATCAACCACTTCCCCTTGGGCTTACGAGAGTTTTTTCTGCGTACCTCTCATTTTTGTTTGTTTCTCTCTGATACTGTATTGATGCCGGTACCTGTACCTCGATGTGTTCCTCTATCTGCAGTCACCTTTAACCTTCGGTCAAGTTAACGTTTATTGTGCTCTATTTATCGTGCGAATCAAAATAAACAATATTAACACAAGTCGTGCTAGAGTGACAACATGTGCGTGTAGTAGGGTTGATGCGATGGGACGTTATAATTAGGTGGAACAGAACACACATTGGGCAGATTGATTGGGCATCATTGATTGTGCTCAGTCTAAACAGTGAACATAATAATTATCTCCAGTGACAGACTGTAGCGGCTAGCCTCCAATAGGTAGCTGGCACTAGTCGCTACTGCTTGTTTGACAGGTGCCGCCAGAACCCCTGTTGTGTCATGCTATAGATGCACATGCCCTATTCTGGGGCATACTGAGGTACTTTGATTTTGTTGACTGCATGTAGACAGCATCCAATAGTAGTACTCGTAGACCTTGGCTCTTTGTAGGTCAACCACCATCGCATGGATCGATCGGTGACCATGCACTTGGAGGTTGGAATAGCCCGCGCTGAACAGATCTTGCCATGGCCCAGGGAGTGAATTTGTCCATACCATGTTGCAAGCTCACAGTTGTTTGGGCAGGTTTTGAGCTGCACTACGAAACAAAGCGAAATAACGGCGTGACTGTAGAGCAAGGAAGCGGCGAGACGGCACTTCCAGGACAAGACAGGCAGTAGAGATGTGTTCACAGCACGAGCAACCTCTCAAACCCTGCCGGTACTCCACAGTTACAAGAAAATGTCGGACTGGACGACGCGCCAATGCAAACCTGCTACATCCACCCAGGCAGATAGCTGCCAAACCAGGCCAATGTCGACCCACTGCATACCGGTATGTCAATGTCAAACAGATCCTGCAGGAGAAGACTGGGATGATATTGGCGTCCAGTGTACGGACACCAGTCACATTTCCTGCGTCTTTTGCAGCATACAGGATAGACTCATCACTGTAAAGTCCACTACTTCGTGATTTTTATTTGTAGAATACATGACAGGCGTATTCAGTGTGCCTCGCAGGACTGCGAGATGCTGCAGAAGACCAGGTTCGACCTTTCTGGACCGCCATTCACCGACGGTGGGCTACATGATGCTGGAGGAACTAGATTCCAGTGAAAACCCAAGATTCCTTTGCTCCTGGACGCTCCGACGTGTTGTGATATCTGCCAGGTGCGCAGTAACTAGTATTTTCATCGCTATAGCGAGGACGACGCCGATCGGCAAACTCTCGCTCACAGCCATCACCAGCCTCTCAAAACCATCACTTGGCATCCCCCAGAGGTATAGGAGAAAGCCAAAACAGCTCTCAACAAACAAAAGCTAAGGACGATGGAAAGAGAGCATGTCAAAAAGAAGACGAACAGTATGAAGTTCAAATGGGTTTGAACACTCGTACCACCAACTATACCACTTTCAATAAATCGTGACGCCATTTTGTTTTAACACGCATACGGTCCACTTCCAGAATCGTATGCGAGAGGTGGAAAGAAATAAAAAGTTGCAAAATAATAAAAAAGGATCATCAGAGGTGAATAGAACTGTACATACCATATAGCCTATTGACTATTGTCAATAGCTCGTGCATGGTGTACATTCGAAAGAAAAATCGTACATCGAAGCACAAAATCTGGGTTATCAGCAAGAGGAAATACTGTAATTTCACAAATTGTCGGTGTACTTTTATTTTCGGTACTTTCGGTGCATCTGTTTCATACCTAAAATTTCAATACACCGAACAAACACTAACACACATAATCCAATAGGGAACTGCTTCTCTGTACCGAAAATTTCTGTTCACCTAACCAAGCCTTTTGCTTTCATACCGAAAATATTGAGCACCGAAAATTTCTGAAATTAGAGTATTCACTTTGGACAGAGGAGGCAACCGTTGGTGCCCATGCTTCGCTGGATTATTGTACTCAGCCTTCAGCAGCGGTGCAAAGAGCTCCGAAACGACGCATCCTCTCAGCTTGAGGCGATCGATGCGGTCTGGTGTAAGCTCAAAGAATTCTGCTCGCAGATGCAGAACAAACGATCTACCAACGCTGGCCTCGAGGCCAATTCTGAATCCCAGCTTCGCCGTATGCAACCAGTCCACACTGATGACTCGCACGATCGTACACTCACTGTGCATGTTCGATTATTTTATTTTTTTCCGGAAAAAATCAAAACGTATGCGTGCGGACGACGCGAAACATAGATATAAAAAATGATGGCCTAATAGAAAAAAATTCTAAAAATCATTATTTGTCACATCAATGAAACTCGTGAGCTCGCTCGATAGCTTGCTCGTTAGTGGAGCTGATCGCTCGTTTGTTATAGATACGCTCGTTTCAACACTACTTTCGTGGGTGGTTTGCGGCTTCGAAGTAACACGTTAGTTGGCGTAATGCCATTTTTTCGAACTTCCCGCACAATCCGAAAAGGATGAACTCCGGCGCCATGATTTCCATGTCACTGTCACAAAGACTGCTCTGCGTGCTCCATGGCGGTCGTCATGGGAACTCTCTGCTCGCACTGCTGCTCCATGTGCTTGCTCTGCTCTCAGATCAGTGCAGATCACCTCAGACGGACACGCTCTATAATCCGCTGAAAAACTGTTGACTTGCGGCACATACTTCAAGATGTATACTATATCCGCTCACTCTGTCGAAGTGTGTTTGTGCTGTTGAACCCAATTTTCTTGAGCACCAAAGGAGGTAAATGAGAAAAAAGTCACGACGTTTTTGTTTCCAGAGGAAGTATCCGCCGAGTTTTGAATGAAATTGACAGAACAGGTGTGTGTGTGTGTGCGTGTGTGTGTGTGTGCGCGCGTGTGTGTGTGCGTGTGTGTGTGTGTGTGTGTGTGTGTGTGTGTGTATGGTACATGGTGTGTGTGTGTGCGTGTGTGTGTGTGTATTCTGTTGTTTCTCAGGCTGCAGCCGTCAACTCCGCATCGATCCCTTCGGCTGGCCCGGTAGCAGGTGTTGGCTCAGCCGAAAAGGTACGGACACGTTGAAAAATGTGCCAATGTCGGCCATTATCTGATCCACTTTAAGCAGTGGATTCTCTGCATGCAGCAAACCCCGTGTATAGAGAAGTTTTTTAAGTGTTAACCCGTGCTTGCCTGCTGTTATGTACACCACACACTATACTTACATTAGGCCGTAACCATCCAAGTGTGGCCTCAACCTGGCCTTCGGGACAGATAGAGCCGAGCGTGTTTTTATTAACCCTTCGAAACCCCTCGTGCCGTGTGCACAATCAAAGTGAGTTACTTTTGGACCACAGCTTTAACCCGTCGAGACCCTGCTGACGTGGGCATAATCTTCTCTGTTCTCGTTTGGCAATGTTGGGTCTTCTTTGAAGCTCTTATGCTCTCAGATGCACGTAGCTGCCAAGCTCAACAGGACTACTGACAGTCCCTGTACCAGAGCGCTATTAGCTCGCCAAAGTACTGCCTCTTCCTTGACATTTCGCTTTGCATTGCGACGTCGCCAATTCTTATGGAAAGCACTTACCTTTTTTTGGCGTGGTGGTGGTGATGGTGATGGTGGTGGTGGGTGGGTGGGTGGGTGGGTGGGTGGTTGGTTGGTGTGTTTGTTTGTTTGTTTGCTTGCTTTGTTTGTTCATTGAAGACATTTAAAATTTGCTCGTCATCCCTTTGCTCAATGCTGTTGTTTCTTGGCTAGTTTTCATTGTCCACAAAGACATCAACTATGGCTTTCTTTCCTTTTTTCTTGTTATGTTCCGTTCTGTGCAGGAATCATCTGGAGGAAACGAGGGATTTGAGAATGATGCCGCTCGCTGGCAGCAGGCAGTGCAGGAGTTGGGTGAAATCAAGACCAGCGGTCCGGTAAGACTAGACGCTTGTTGCTGGGGCGTAGCTGGTCCCCTTTTAGGGAGAGGGTGTGCATGGCCGCATATGTGTAGGAGGGCGTAGCTGGTCCCCCTTTGGGGGGGGGGGAGGGGGGGGGGGGGGTGCATGGCTGCATATAATAATTATGTAGGATGGCTGGTGCATGTCATGCATGGTCATTATGTGCATGCTGAACCTAGGTCGAAATTTTTTTGGGGGGTGCACGTGCCCCCTGTGCCCCATGTAGGCTACGCACCTGGTTGCACGCGGAATGGGCCATTTGCCAAACAAGAAAGCATTCGCTCTGGGCCCTCACGATGCTCCTGCCCCCCTGCATGATCACAAGTCACAGATACACAGACAGCTTGGAACTGTTCTGTAAGAAAGTTGAGAGTACCCTGTTAACAGCTTGACGCAAGGTGAAAGAGGTACTTCGAAAGACAGGGCGTTTCTGCTGTGACCATAATTTCGGTTGGTAGGGGGACTCCCAGTCTGTGCGATCATAACAACAGTTTTGCGAACCCCACTTGCCTTGAGCTGTCAGAACTTACTACTTTGAAACTGTGTGTGCAGGAATTAATTACTCTTCAAAGCCCTACCCAATCCCTTACCCGATGCCCTGCCAAGTCCACTTGCACTTCACTTGGTATATGATCTGCCGGAGCAGAGTTACTCTGTTCCAGTGTCACTTCACCATTTGACATGCTCAATAGGGAAGTTTCGCGCTACATAATTACCTATGAAAATCCGCATGCCGTACGCGCCGGGGAGCGAGGGCAACTTTCATACGTAAATCTGCAAATTTCTGTAGGAAAGCTTTTTCATTTCAGTGATTCAGTTAAACAGTAGTATTAAAAATTTGACTCGGATATTGAGCCAGTAATAAATGTAAAATAGAAAAAAAACACATGGGAATGAGTTACGAAGCAACTATCACACATTCTGACTGTTTATTATCTTGTTACAGTCGTGGATAGTTGCTTCATAACTCATTCCCATGTGTTTTCTTCTATTTTACATTAAAAATTTGGCACAAAATAAAGAAAATAAAACGCCCTGAAGCGCAGAATACAAAATGAGGAAAAAGTTCAAAGTCTGAAGAAAATGTTGAACGGTCTCTGCTGGGATGATGGCTACACTTTAGCTCGGTGGTTAGAGCAACGCTGGCCTCAACCAGGTCCCAGGTTCGAGTCCTGGTGGTGACAGTCGACTCTTCTTCAGACTTTTCCCGTTTGCATCTTTCCCTCAAACCAATGAAGAAAAAGGGAAAATCTGAGCCATCTAACATTAACACTGCACCGAATAATAAGTTAAATTAAAAATAAACGAGTGCAAATCCAAGAAATCATAACAAACAAACTGACTAAAGTAATAAAATAATATATGGCAGATGAATAGTTAGATTTCTATTCTTGGCAAGTCGGGCAATGGCGGAGATTCAGCCTCAGCACACACGGGGTCAAACAGGACCTGGGGCAACTTTGCGGGCAGATTCCAGCTGCTCCCGCCGACCAGACTCCGCCAGCAAGAACGTGTCATGCCGCCGACCTTCCACCGGCCAATGTCATCTGGTTCCGAGGTAGAAAATGTTGGCACACCTGCTCACGGACACGCACTCAGTCGGTAGAGCTATCAAGTATTGCCACTGTATTACTAATTATTTCAGACTGGGCAATCAAGAGCTTTAGGAAAGACTGAACAGTAAAGACGAAGAACCAACTCTAAACTGACTCCACCAAGGTTAGCGTAGAAGTATAAGTTGACGATCATGCCATCCAGGGTGACCACCGACTGAAACGTCAAAGCGTGTACACGCTTGTGGCCGTTGTAGATAAGTCTCTGGCCTTCAATGGGCCGGCGCATGGGTCGCACTGTGCCATCTATAAACCCCCAGACGTTCGTGAGCGATGCATCCTTTCTATTCACACTCCTGGCACACTCCTCCACTCTCTCCAGGGTCGGTCATGGAGTGCCAAGGCTTCGCAATAACCCGCCCCAAGTCTCAGAAAGAAACTTTACAGTGCAGTTGAACGTAGCAGTCAGTTCACTCTTCGGACGGCCAAACACGCCCTCCAAAGTCGAGAGGCGACAGGAGTATGCCAAGCGATACAACACAAGGCACAACCCATCGACGATGCCGGCAATCAAGAGCTTTAGGAATGAACCTGTAAACATGCGTTGGTCGCTACAAAGTTGGTCCAGTGTTGGCCTGACCAACCGCACCGCTTCCGGCGGGCCTGAAAGACAATGACAGATCAAGTAACTTGCAGACACTGAATACATGGTAGCATAACAGTTACTAGTGGACGAAAATGGCGGAATGTGTGAAAAGTTCTCTACGCATACTACCAGGAAGTCCATTCGGTCACAGCATGACTAGCAGTCGTCGATAAATCACTTGGAGCGAAACCCAACAGCACAGATTTTCACGTATGAAAATTGCATGCAGTTCCTACGTTATTTTATACGTAATTTACGTAGAGCGAAATGTGCTGTGCTGTGTGTGCGTGTGTGTGTGTGTGTGTGTGTGTGTGTGTGTGTGTGTCTGATGCCGTCAATCCTTTTTCTGCACCTTGTCCTCACCCACTTGCTGAGGTGTGGTGAGCCCATAAGTGGGATCATGTTCAAGTCCACCCAGAGTTTTGGGGTTTTCAGGGGGTGTCGGCCGTTGGGCGGTTCAATAGCCAATTGGGTCATCTTTCCAAGATTCCTTTTGAGTCTCTCTCCCCTCTCCCGGGGGAGACCCACGTGACCAGTTTTGGCAGTGAGCAACAAGTACGCGTACAAGTGTATGTGTGTGTGTGTGCGTGTGTGTGTGTGCGTGCATGTATGTGCATGTGTGTGCATGTGTGTGTGTGCATGTGTGTGTGTGTATGTGTGTGTGCATGTGTGCATGCATGCGTACGTGTGTGCACGCATGCGTGTGTGTGTGTGTGCACACGCATGTGTGTGTGTATGTGTGTGTGTGTGTGCGTGCATATATTTGTCATGTCGGCCACAGCTCGTCGAATGGTTCCTGCAGTACTTCCCGCGCGCCACTTACCAGCATTGGTTTGCGTCGGCGGCGCACCACAACGTCCAGTCTCTGGTGCAGGACATGGCTATGCAGGTGTGCTGTGAAGGCTGCACTCACATCTCCACCACTGCCATGGTCGCCAAACAGCCGGTCGACCTGAACGAGGTGCACGACGTCGTCTCGCTGGTGCGCCTGCTGGCGTTCGACTACCGCTGCAACGTGCCGCCGTTCGTCCGGCACGCCGTGGTGGAGCTGCTGCTGGCGCTGCCCCTGTCGGCACGCTGCGCCGCACTGCACCGCGACCTGTCCGTCCTGGCCTACCTGGTCGATGAATTTGCCCGAAGCGGTGCCGTCGGCAACCGGCTGCCCGCTCAGCTTGCGTCGTCATTGGCGACGGCCATGCAGCTGGTGGCGCGGGACCTGGGCGCCGAGCGGCAGCGAGCGCAGGAGCTGGACCTGGCCGTGAGAAAGGAAACCGAGCGTGTCACGTCGTTCGGTGCCAACCAAAGCCGAATGCGCCAGCTTGAGCACTCGCAGTCTGCCGGCCAGTCGCCACACGAGGGGGACCCCAGGGTCAAGCGTATTCAGTTCCAGCGTCGCGAGAAAATCAGCAAGTTGCGTCTGTCGCAGCTGCACACGCAGCACCAGCAGCAGATGCAGCGAGAGCAGCGCTTGGCCGGTGGAGTAGCCGTGACTGTAGGCGTCTTCAATGCTATGAAGGCACACGTTGCTGATCATGTTGTGGTGGGTTGCCCGGGAAACTCTCTCTCTCCCTCTCTCTCCCTCTCTCTCCTCTCTCTCTCTCTCTCTCTCTCTCTCTCTCTCTCTCTCTCTCTCTCTCTCTCTCTCTCTCTCTCTCTCTCTCTCTCTCTCACGCGCGCGCATGCACACACACACACACACATACACACACACACACACACACACACACACACACACACACACACACACACACACATACACACACACACACACACACACACACACACACACACACACACACACACACACACACACACACCTGTACAGTAATTGGTTGATGAGTCACTCCAAATGTCCATGTCCAAGCCCCATGCCACAGCAGTCTATTCGATGTGATCAGGTGTGAAGATACACTTCTGGTAAAGAATTCCATCTTTCACAAAGCTCAGCAATGCAACACAGCCAAGGGCAAGAACAACAGTCACATCATACCTTTCACTGTCAAGTCCCATTAAGAACAGTGACATCATACCTCTCACTGTCAAGTCCCATTAAGAACAGTGACATCATACCTCTCACTGTCAAGTCCCATTAAGAACAGTGACATCATACCTCTCACTGTCAAGTCCCATTAAGAACAGTGACATCATACCTCTCACTGTCAAGTCCCATTAAGAACAGTGACATCATACCTCTCACTGTCAAGTCCCATTAAGAACAGTGACATCATACCTAAGAACAGTGACATCATACCTCTCACTGTCAAGTCCCATTCATAGTACTAGTGTCTCTTTACGTGCCTGCGTGTGTTTTGTGTCACTCACTGCAGCTCGGCGACGCGTTGCAGGAGTTGATTGCGCACGCACCGGCCCATCACTACTCGGTGCATTTCCTGTCAGAGGTCCTGGACATGTTCCCTGCTGATCCACGGTAATGTGATATGCACATTCCGCTGTATGGAATCCCCCGCCACTACACATGCGTAACCGCCCCTACACATGCATGACCGCCCCTACACATGCATAACCGCCCCTACACATGCATGACCGCCCCTACACGTACATAACCGCCCCTACACATGCATAACCGCCCCTACACATGCATAACCACCGCTACACATGCATAACCGCCCCTACACGTGCATAACCGCCCCTACACGTGCATAACCGCCCCTTCACGTGCATAACCGCCCCTACACGTGCATAACCGCCCCTACACATGCATAACCGCCCCTACACGTGCATAACCGCCCCTACACATGCATAACCGCCCCTACACATGCATAGCCGCCCCTACACATGCATAACCGCCCCTACACGTGCATAACCGCCCCTACACATGCATAACCGCCCCTACACATGCATAACCGCCCCTACACATGCATAACCGCCCCTTACACATGCATAACCGCCCCTACACATGCATAACCGCCCCTACACATGCATAACCACCCCTACACATGCATAACCGCCCCTACACGTGCATAACCGCCCCTACACATGCATAACCGCCCCTACACGTGCATAACCGCCCCTACACATGCATAACCGCCCCTACACATGCATAACCGCCCCTACACATGCATAACCGCCCCTACACATGCATAACCATCGATAAGATACGGCCCCATGTACGTGTAGATTACTAATTTAGAGCGCAAACCCATTAATTAGAGTGGAGGACCGCCGAAAGCAGTTTTAGACTGGTCCGGGCATACCCTAATCGTTGATACAGTTTGTGTATGATATAGCGGCGGGTACGCATTACCTCAGCAGCAGTAACCATGCATTGGTGGCCAACAAGTTGGTCTGGTGATGGCCTGACCAACCGGACTCTTTCCGGCGGGCCTGCGTTCTCTATGTTCTGTTGGTATGCACTGTTGTCG